AAGGTGAGAGGCCGGAGTTTGGCTTTAAACACCACAGGGGGAACCATGCTTCTGTGGTTCAAAACAAGTAACACTGCAATGTTTGGGCGGGGATAATGGCCATGTGTATCAGGAAAGACCTTGGAACAAGGAGAAGCATTCCATGGAAAACGTCTGAAGGCACAAAGGAGCAGAATTCAGTGGAAAACACTTTGGGGTGCAGCCGTCATTGAGCAGCAGATATGGAGAAGGTGGGAGAGATAGACACTGTTGTGGCTTCTTCAGGGAATTTGGGTGCTTGTCCCATGTTGGCTCCTGCATGGGTACAAGCTCTTCTGCCAATCAGCAGGATGTAGTAGAGTGATTATTGTACATACTATATTGTTACCGCCTATAATAGAGGAATTTAGTGGAACTGTACTATATTGAGATGTTCAGCAGACATTGGCTATGGGACTTTTGAAACAGGAAATAGGGTTACAGAAGAAAGAGTCATAGAGGGAAGAAATGGACAATCCGTTTTAAAACTCATCATATCATAAGCTGCGTTATATAGAGAAAATCTGAGGGTTTTTTTTTTTAATCCTCTATACTGAGTGTTCCTGTTCATTCATAACATGAGGACAGAGTATGGTTACTATAACTACAACTATGAAGGAACAGGAGGTGATGTAGATCACTCCCATTCATTCATAATTGAGGATATAGTTAACATACCATGTCCTCTATCTACAAACACTCAGCGATCACTGATCACTGAGTGTTTGTACCCGCTCTCCTCTCTGACACGCTGTCACAGGAGGCTGAGCGAGCGGAGCAGGGAGGACAGCTCAGCCTTTTGTGACAACGCGGCCTGTCTCCGCCCACATACCGCTCTGCCGGACTGTCATAGGAGGCTGACCGGTGTGGGAGGAGAGACGCCGGCCGCACACATCGCTCTCCTCCCGCAGCGCTCGGCCGGCTGTCACATTTTCTCTCCTCCCCGCTGGGACACAGAGCAGCGCCCAGCGGGGAGGAGAGAAAGCAGGGATGCGCCGATGTATCAGCAGGAAAATGGCACTTTCGGCATTATGCCAAAAGTGCCATTTTCGGCCGATATGTTTCGGCGGCCGATATATCGGTGCATCCCTAGTTTTTTTTTTTGGTAGCAGAATGCATTGCTATGTGGGTTAGACCAAACTGCAAAGTTCTCTTCGCAGACTAATGTCATAAAAGTTGGACTTATTTATAAAGAAATAGACCCGGAGATAATGAGCGGAGGGATTGCATGACTGGGGGAAGGAATAGTCCCTGGAGAAGGAATGAAATAAAATGGGAATCAGTTGCTCTTACTTGACTGGAGGTTGAAGTCAGGTTTCGTGGAGGAGCCGCATGGGATTGGACTGCAAGGGCTGACGGGCGTTCTTTCCAGAAAATTGATGAAGGAAGCAGGTTGTCCCGTCTGCTCTCCCCTAATTTTTTGCAGTTGGAATGGTTGTTTATTTCACGGCAGCTTGGCGGGTTAAGGGGCCTTTGGGGGTCTAGAAATGTGAGTCGGTTACAAAATTGGGGCCTTCAGCCTGTCT